CAAAGTGGTACTTGGAGTACCACTATTATTTTTTTTATGTCAATGGACCAGAGATGATGAATATCGCCGACAGGTTTAATCCATATAAAGTTCCTTCAGTGCATTTGGTTTTAAACTGTTCCTTCGGTGTAATTTGGTTTTAAACTCAATATCGAGGTTGGTAAGTACAGGAGAGAGCGGGTTACCCAGTGCCATGCCAAACTTCTGAGTGTAAATGTTACAACTAAAAAACATTAATTTCAAGCATTGTAACTGGTGGAATACAAGAGTGTGTAAAAAGAATAATCAAGAGGCAGTTGGTTGTGTCTGAGGAGCTCTGGCGAGGCAGGAAGGTAACTTAGTGTTGTTTGTACTGAGGCTTCACGCTGACACTCTCATCCAAGCTTGCACCAGAGTCTCAGATGTCAGCATTACCCCTCACCGGAGGAAGACTCTATTGTGCACTTATCTCTCCAAATTACATTATGCACACAATACCCGTCTTGTCAAGTACAGTGTACACAATGCCTATCTCATCATGTTCACTGCACATAAAATACTTACAAGTAAATAAGTTTATTCAGGTATACACAAATACAGTTAAATAGATTATCATACATAGCAGCATATGTGTAGAGAACCTGGGATAACCCAAAAGTCATAAGAACATAAGAAAGAAGGAACACTGCAGCAGGCCTACTGACCCATGCGAAGCAGGTCCATGTCAACCCCCGGCTTAGACCAATAACCCACCTAGTAGGTTATTTCCACTTAAGGAAGGAGCACGGCATCAGACCTGGTAGTTCAAGCTGGTCAGGTCCTTTGTCTCTTCAAGAACACTGTACATGCAATACCTATCTCACCAAGTACATTGTACACACAATACCTGTTTAACCAAGTACACTGTGAACACAATACCTGTCTTACCAAGAACATTATCAAATGTTGCAATCTTCAGAACCTGCATCACCTGACCTGTCCACAGCCGTCCCCTTACCGTTCTATGACTGGTATTTTCTTTCTCACTCGAGACAAGATAACAAGTCATATCAAAACGAAACATCAGCCGGTTGCATCTCCTATTTGTGGATCAGCTGAGAATTGTTCAATTTACAGCATATTAATCATGATTCACTTATCAAACCATACCACGGGCGGGGATAGAACCCGCGATCAGACTCTCTGATCGCGGGTTCTATCCCTGCCCGTGGTATGGTTTGTTTGCAATCGTGTCATTATGATTTCGTGAGTCATGATTCACTTATGTACGCTGAAAATATATCTCTCATATGTATATGCATTGAGAAGAGCAGTGTGTATACAAAGATATGTACTATCTCAGTATATTTGCACTTCGATGTATATTGTACAATCCTTGTATTGGATATAGAAGTATCCTTGACCGCTGGAGTACAGATGACCTGACGCTTTAACGACCCTCATGTAATAGACAGACTTCAAACCTAATAAACTAACGGTATCGTGACTTTTGTTTATTCTCTGCAGACAATATATGCTAAAACAACCCTCAAACTTGAGTGTGGGTATTTGGTGATGTAAATTGATGATTCGCTTTCTGTTAATTAATTAACTTGTTTATTAATACATTAACTTGTGTATTAATATAGTAACTTGTTTATTAATACAATAACGTGTGTATTAATGCATTATCTGGTTTATTTTCCTCATTGTTAGTGTTTATTGCTATTTTGTTTAGTAATCTTAATTTCGATTGTCCCTTTGTGACCAAGATATAAGTGTAAATATTTCCCTCCAGTGATGGATAATATGGGCAATAACGATTGTACGGGTAAAATGAATATCACCCATGATATAGTTGCTGGAAAGTACCTTCCGGGCAACTATACAATGAAATTTTAATCTGTTCCATGATGTCTTTCTCGTGTGGTCTCCATGTCCCACCCAGCCGCTCACACTCCTGTTCCACCACGTTCCTGGATGTTCATCTTACATGTCTCTTCCATACCATCGTCTCCTGATTACAAGGATGTGTAAGGTACATCTCAAACACTTTGTAAAGTATCTCTGACATACCATGTAAAGTGCTTCATCATGACGTAACAAATAAGAGTTCTTCTGTTACAAACTAGAGAGCTCTCATGTCACACTATGTACAGTGATTCTGACGCACCAGTCAACAAGTTCTGACACGCTATAAATTTGTCACAAGCACTGTAAGGAGTCCAGCCACACTTTTGTCTTTCATTTCTCTTGGGACTGCGACACACACGTCTGGTACTTGTGGTGTACACGTCTGGTACTTGTGGTGTACACGTCTGGTACTTGTGATGTACACGTCTGGTACTTGTGATGCACACATCTGGTACTTGTGGTGTACACGTCTGGTACTTGTGGTGTACACGTCTGGTACTTGTGGTGTACACGTCTGGTATTTGTGGTGTACACATCTGGTACTTGTGGTGTACACGTCTGGTACTTGTGGTGTAACACGTCGGGTACTTGTGGTGTACACGTCTGGTACTTGTGGTGTACACGTCTGGTACTTGTGGTGTACACATCTGGTACTTGTGGTGTACACGTCTGGTACTTGTGGTGTACACGTCTGGTACTTGTGGTGTACACGTCTGGTGCTTGTGGTGTACACGTCTGGTACTTGTGGTGTACACGTCTGGTACTTGTGGTGTACACATCTGGTACTTGTGGTGTACACGTCTGGTACTTGTGTACACATCTGGTACTTGTGGTGTACACATCTGGTACTTGTGGTGTACACATCTGGTACTTGTGTACACATCTGGTACTTGTGGTGTACACATCTGGTACTTGTGGTGTACACGTCTGGTACTTGTGGTGTACACATCTGGTAGTTGTGGTGTACACATCTGGTACTTGTGGTGTACACATCTGGTACTTGTGTACACATCTGGTACTTGTGGTTTACACATCTGGTACTTGTGGTGTACACGTCTGGTGCTTGGGGTGTACACGTCTGGTACTTGTGATGCACACGTCTGGTGCTTGGGGCGCACACGTTTGTTGCCTGGGGTGCACACGTCTGGTATTTGTGGTGCACACGTCTGGTGCTTGCCATGCACACGTCTGGTGCTTGCGGTACACACGTCTGGTGCTTGCGGTACACATGTCTGGTGCTTGCGGAACACACGTCTGGTGCTTGCGGTACACACGTCTGGTGCTTGCGGTACACACGCCTGGTGCTTGCGGTACACACGTCTGGTGCTTGCGGTACACACGTCTGGTGCTTGCGGTACACACGCCTGGTGCTTGCGGTACACACGCCTGGTGTTTGTGGTACACACGTCTGATGCTTGCGGTACACATGTCTGGTGATTGCGGTACACACGTCTGGTGCTTGCGGTACACATGTCTGGTGCTTGCGGTACACACGTCTGGTGCTTGCGGTACACACGTCTGGTGTTTGCGGTACACACGCCTGGTGCTTGCGGTGCACACGTCTGGTGCTTGCGGTACACGTCTGGTGCTTGCGGTACACACGCCTGGTGCTTCCGGTACACACGTCTGTTGCTTGCGGTACACATGTCTGGTGCTTGCGGTACACACGTCTGGTGCTTCCGGTACACACGTCTGGTGCTTGCGGGACACATGTCTGGTGCTTGCAGTACACACGTCTGGTGCTTGCAGTACACACGCCTGGTGCTTGCGGTACACACGTCTGGTGCTTGCGGTACACATGTCTGGTGCTTGCGGTACACATGTCTGGTGCTTGCGGTACACATGTCTGGTGCTTGCGGTACACACGTCTGGTGCTTGCGGTACACACGTCTGGTGCTTGCGGTACACATGTCTGGTGCTTGCGGTACACAGGTCTGGTGCTTGCGGTACACAGGTCTGGTGCTTGCGGTACACGTCTGGTGCTTGCGGTACACATGTCTGGTGCTTGCGGTACACACGTCTGGTGCTTGCGGTACACATGTCTGGTGCTTGCGGTACACACGTCTGGTGCTTGCGGTACACATGTCTGGTGCTTGCGGTACACACGTCTGTGCTTGCGGTACACACGTCTGGTGCTTGCGGTACACATGTCTGGTGCTTGCGGTACACAGGTCTGGTGCTTGTGGTACACACGTCTGGTGTTTGCGGTACACGTCTGGTGCTTGCGGTACACATGTCTGGTGCTTGCGGTACACACGTCTGGTGCTTGCGGTACACATGTCTGGTGCTTGCGGTACACACGTCTGGTGCTTGCGGTACACATGTCTGGTGCTTGCGGTACACACGTCTGGTGCTTGCGGTACACATGTCTGGTGCTTGCGGTACACACGTCTGGTGCTTGCGGTACACATGTCTGGTGCTTGCGGTACACACGTCTGGTGCTTGCGGTACACATGTCTGGTGCTTGCGGTACACACGTCTGGTGCTTGCGGTACACATGTCTGGTGCTTGCGGTACACACGTCTGGTGCTTGCGATACACACATCTGCTTGTGGCAAAATTTCACACTTTGCTAGGAAGCTCTGACGTTATAATCTGCAGTAAACGTATAGGTCGCAAGACGCACAACACTGATTGGCAGGTCGAGGCAACAACACTGACTGGCAGGTCGAGGCAACAACACTGACTGGCAGGTCGAGGCAACAACACTGGCAGGTCGAGGCAACAACACTGACTGGCAGGTCGAGGCAACAACACTGGCAGGTCGAGGCAACAACACTGACTGGCAGGTCGAGGCAACAACACTGACTGGCAGGTCGAGGCAACAACACTGACTGGCAGGTCGAGGCAACAACACTGACTGGCAGGTCGAGGCAACAACACTGGCAGGTCGAGGCAACAACACTGGCAGGTCGAGGCAACAACACTGACTGGCAGGTCGAGGCAACAACACTGACTGGCAGGTCGAGGCAACAACACTGACTGGCAGGTCGAGGCAACAACACTGACTGGCAGGTCGAGGCAACAACACTTCTTTCTTTCACTAATACACGAACATCTATTTTGGAGTGCCTTACCTCTGCTCTTCCGTTGGTGGATACCGTTGAGAACTAATGGGTGATCCTTACCGTTGGTGAGGCAGAGGAGACCCAGTTGGACCCCGAAGAGATGGTTGAGGGACACCAACATAGCGGTGGCCACACAGGCTGATAATTAACACGAGCGCTCACTGAGGCTCCAACCTGCTCACTGAAGCCTCTCATCCAGGGCCACCACAATGAGCTCCAACCGGTTTGAAAGCTGGCGGGCGAGTGAAGCCTCCGATGAACCCCTCTGCGACACGCCATACGCTGCCAGCCATCGCACGTATCGTACCGTAGTTCAAGCTAAATAATTCCAGTACACAAATGCTCAACAATAAATCGCCGTATAATAGGCCAGATTTATTCTACATAAGGTAAAAAAATTAAATGATTTAATGTGGGTCCAGGGAGGGCTGAAAGTCGGTCTAGAGCGTCCTATCCGGAGTATAAGTTAGTTGGGGGCTGTTGTGAATTTTTTACTGTGACTTATATTCTTTTGAGCGAATTTGGAAGTTATTTTTGGGGTGTGTCTGGCAACCAACGCGCAGGTGACACACGTTACCCCCAGTTGACTTGTGTGACCCCCAGCTGACACGCGTGACCCCAGCTGACACGAACTAGGTCACCACAGCTGTAATGATTCAGTGTAACAGTGATATACACTGCTGTTTTAGCAGGATATACACGGCTATTATAGCAGGATATACACGGTTGTTAAAGCAGGATATACATAACTGTTGTAGCAGGATATACACGGTTGTTATAACATGATATACACGACTGTTACAGCAAGCTATACACGGTTTTATAACAGGATATAAACGAATGTTATAGCAGGATATACACGACTGTTATAGCAGGATATACATGGTTGTTATAACAGGATATATTCGACTGTTGTAGCAGGATATACACTGGTGTTATAGCAGGATATACACCTGTGTACCTGTTATAGCAACATATACATTGCTGTTATAGTAGGATATACACGGCAGTTATAGCATGATGTACTCGGCTGTTATAGCAGGATATACATGGTAGGTACAACAGGATATACACGGTAGTTACAGCAGGATATACACGATTGTTACAGCAGGATATACACGGTTGTTACAGCAGGATATACACCTGTGTTATAGCAACATACACACGGCTGTTATAGCAGGATATACACGGTTGTTATAACAGGATATACTCGACTGTTGTAGCAGGATATACACTGGGGTTATAGCAGGATATACACGGGTTTCATAGCATGATATACACGGGTGTTACAGCAGGATATACACCTGTGTACCTGTGTTATAGCAACATATACATGGCTGTTATAGTAGAATATACACGGCTGTTAAAGCAGGATATACACGGCTATTATAGCAGGATATACACGGTTGTTAAAGCAGGATATACATAACTGTTGTAGCAGGATATACACGGTTGTTATAACATGATATACACGACTGTTACAGCAAGCTATACACGGTTGTTATAACAGGATATAAACGAATGTTATAGCAGGATATACACGACTGTTATAGCAGGATATACATGGTTGTTATAACAGGATATATTCGACTGTTAAAGCAGGATATACACGGCTGTTATAGCAGGATATACACGGGTGGTATAGCATGACATACTCCGTCCAGTGTGCGCCAGGGTTTACACTGATCTATGGTGAGTACTCTGCTGCTGGTGATGGTCTTCTGACCCGGTGACATGTTTATCACAGGTTATCAACATTACTTACTTACACCTTATTCACGACTATAATAATATTAATAATAATAATAATAATAATAATAATAATAATAATAATAATAATAATAATAATAAAAATAATAATAATAATAATAATAATAATAATAATAATAATAATAAAAAAATAATAATAATAATAATAATAATAATAATAATAATAACAACAATAACAACAACAATAATAATAATAATAATAATAAAAATAATAATAATAATAATAATAATAACAATAATAATAATAATAATAATAATAATAATAATAATAATAATAACAACAACAATAATAATAATAATAATAATAATAATACAAATAATAATAATATTAATAATAATAGCAATATAAATAATAACTATAATAAAAACAATAATACCAAAAACAATTATTATTATTATTATTATTATTATTATTATTAAGTTTAGAATGGCGAAATATTATAAGTTTCATTACCTCTCTAGTAAGGAACTTTCATTAATAAAATCTTTTATTACCCGAGGAGAGTTACAGTCACTACAGTACAGTTACAGTCAGTACAGTACAGTTACAGTCAGTACAGTACAGTTACAGTCAGTACAGTACAGTTACAGTCAGTATAGTACAGTTACAGTCAGTATAGTACAGTTACAGTCAGTATAGTACAGTTACAGTCAGTATAGTACAGTTACAGTCAGTATAGTACAGTTACAGTCAGTATAGTACAGTTACAGTCAGTATAGTACAGTTACAGTCAGTATAGTACAGTTACAGTCAGTATAGTACAGTTACAGTCAGTATAGTACAGTTACAGTCAGTACAGTACAGTTACAGTCAGTACAGTACAGTTACAGTCAGTATAGTACAGTTACAGTCAGTACAGTACAGTTACAGTCACTATAGTACAGTTACAGTCAGTATAGTACAGTTACAGTCAGTATAGTACAGTTACAGTCAGTATAGTACAGTTACAGTCACTATAGTACAGTTACAGTCAGTATAGTACAGTTACAGTCAGTATAGTACAGTTACAGTCACTATAGTACAGTTACAGTCAGTACAGTACAGTTACAGTCAGTATAGTACAGTTACAGTCACTATAGTACAGTTACAGTCACTATAGTACAGTTACAGTCACTATAGTACAGTTACAGTCACTATAGTACAGTTACAGTCAGTACAGTACAGTTACAGTCAGTATAGTACAGTTACAGTCAGTATAGTACAGTTACAGTCAGTATAGTACAGTTACAGTCAGTATAGTACAGTTACAGTCAGTACAGTACAGTTACAGTCAGTACAGTACAGTTACAGTCAGTATAGTACAGTTACAGTCAGTACAGTACAGTTACAGTCAGTACAGTACAGTTACAGTCAGTACAGTACAGTTACAGTCAGTACAGTACAGTTACAGTCAGTACAGTACAGTTACAGTCAGTACAGTACAGTTACAGTCAGTATAGTACAGTTACAGTCAGTACAGTACCGTTACAGTCAGTACAGTACAGTTACAGTTAGTACAGTACAGTTACAGTCAGTACAGTACAGTTACAGTCAGTACAGTACAGTTACAGTCAGTACAGTACAGTTACAGTCACTACAGTACAGTTACAGTCAGTATAGTACAGTTACAGTCAGTATAGTACAGTTACAGTCAGTATAGTACAGTTACAGTCACTATAGTACAGTTACAGTCAGTATAGTACAGTTACAGTCAGTATAGTACAGTTACAGTCAGTATAGTACAGTTACAGTCAGTACAGTACAGTTACAGTCAGTATAGTACAGTTACAGTCAGTACAGTACAGTTACAGTCAGTATAGTACAGTTACAGTCAGTATAGTACAGTTACAGTCACTATAGTACAGTTACAGTCAGTATAGTACAGTTACAGTCAGTATAGTACAGTTACAGTCAGTATAGTACAGTTACAGTCAGTACAGTACAGTTACAGTCAGTATAGTACAGTTACAGTCAGTACAGTACAGTTACAGTCAGTATAGTACAGTTACAGTCAGTACAGTACAGTTACAGTCAGTACAGTACAGTTACAGTCAGTACAGTACAGTTACAGTCAGTATAGTACAGTTACAGTCAGTACAGTACAGTTACAGTCAGTATAGTACAGTTACAGTCAGTACAGTACAGCTACAGTCAGTATAGTACAGTTACAGTCAGTACAGTACAGTTACAGTCAGTACAGTACAGTTACAGTTACAATCAGTATAGTACAGTTACAGTCAGTACAGTACAGTTACAGTCAGTACAGTACAGTTACAGTCAGTACAGTACAGTTACAGTCACTACAGTACAGTTACAGTCAGTATAGTACAGTTACAGTCAGTATAGTACAGTTACAGTCAGTATAGTACAGTTACAGTCACTATAGTACAGTTACAGTCAGTATAGTACAGTTACAGTCAGTATAGTACAGTTACAGTCAGTATAGTACAGTTACAGTCAGTACAGTACAGTTACAGTCAGTATAGTACAGTTACAGTCAGTACAGTACAGTTACAGTCAGTATAGTACAGTTACAGTCAGTATAGTACAGTTACAGTCACTATAGTACAGTTACAGTCAGTATAGTACAGTTACAGTCAGTATAGTACAGTTACAGTCAGTATAGTACAGTTACAGTCAGTACAGTACAGTTACAGTCAGTATAGTACAGTTACAGTCAGTACAGTACAGTTACAGTCAGTATAGTACAGTTACAGTCAGTACAGTACAGTTACAGTCAGTACAGTACAGTTACAGTCAGTACAGTACAGTTACAGTCAGTATAGTACAGTTACAGTCAGTACAGTACAGTTACAGTCAGTATAGTACAGTTACAGTCAGTACAGTACAGTTACAGTCAGTATAGTACAGTTACAGTCAGTACAGTACAGTTACAGTCAGTACAGTACAGTTACAGTTACAATCAGTATAGTACAGTTACAGTCAGTACAGTACAGTTACAGTCAGTACAGTACAGTTACAGTCAGTACAGTACAGTTACAGTCAGTATAGTACAGTTACAGTCAGTACAGTACAGTTACAGCCAGTACAGTACAGTTACAGTCAGTACAGTACAGTTACAGTTACAATCAGTATAGTACAGTTACAGTCAGTACAGTACAGTTACAGTCAGTACAGTACAGTTACAGTCAGTACAGTACAGTTACAGTAAGTACAGTACAGTTACAGTCAGTACAGTACAGCTACAGTAAGTACAATACAGTTACAGTCAGTACAATACAGCTACAGTCAGTACAGTACAGTTACAGTCAGTATAGCACAGTTACACTCAGTATGGTACAGTTACAGTCAGTACAACACAGCTACAGTCAGTACAGTACAGTTACAGTCAGTATAGTACAGTTCCAGTCAGTACAGTACAGTTACAGTCAGTATAATACAGTTACAGTCAGTACAGTACAGTTACAGTCAGTATAATACAGTTCCAGTCAGTACAGTACAGTTACAGTCAGTATAATACAGTTA